AAAATCTCTATACAGTGGAAGGAGTCTATATCATATCCCAGTGGGGAAGGAAAAGAAATATATTATCTAAATAGAATCAAAGACCAAAATAAGCAAAGATATTTATTTATATGCCAAGGTTTTACCATATTGCTCTTCTTTGAAATAGTTTAGAAAACTTCAAACTAAAAGCTTATTTTTCCTCTTCAGTGAGACTTCAATATACAGTCTAAGTTTCCCCATTCAATCCTTAACTGGATTTTTTCTTAAAATCTTTACCTAGAATCCTTTTTTACTCTTATTACCACTTTTAAAAATTAAGCTTGACTCACGCCTAAAACACAGAGATCAGTAATAAAGCACAACATCTCAAGTTCTTTTTTGAAACCCACCACCCAACTGTAAAACATAAGGCAGTTATATTGCAAACTCACCAGTGAATATAATCAATTATTTCAAGGCAGTATATAAAGAAAATAAAGAAATAAAATATCTTCAAATTTTAAGAACACATATTTCTTTTCATGATACTATAGTTAACAAAAAATTATCTAAGCAGGAGAGTGATCATATGCAAGTTATGTTGGAAAGGCACATGACTTTTATTAGCATGGTCAAAAATAAACTGCAGATTGAATCCTAACCACTCCCATCTACTGCCAAGCTACTTGACTCTCTGAGTCTCGATTTTCCTATCCATAAATCAAACTAATACTTCTTCATAAGTTTTTGACTGGATGAAAATAAGAATGAATACAATGGAACTAGCACAGTACATGGCAACAGTAAATGCTTCATAAACAGTAATGCCCTTCCTATCTTGAAAATTTAATATCTATATATTTAAATAATAAAATTCTGTGTTGTAAGCACCCAAAGTCATTGAACTTAAAAAGCAATAAGCCAGTTTGACATACAACCTTAAAATGTCATTTTTTTTTTTTTTTTGAAAGGCCACATTAGAGCTCTCCCTAGAGCATTGCCACAGCCAAAGTATTGGTGCAGGTCAATGAAAAAAATACAACCCACAAAAGAAGAATACAATCTCTTCCTCCCCAACATTAAAATAAAGCTTCTGAAAGAGACCCAGGTTTCTTCCTTCAAGTCAGGAAACTTGGGTTGTTTCATCCTACTGTCAGAATTCTGACAGAGAAAAGGAGTGGGGTGGAGAAAAATAGATGGCTTCTAAATTTCTCCATGGCAGCAGTGAAAAGGGCAAAAGGCAACCCACTGCTCAACTCCGTTTTTCCATTTGAAAGTGATAGTCAATAGGAAAGTGAGATTCAAAATAAAATATCAGATGTATGACCAGCTGAGCTGTATTCTAACCCTTCCCTGTACCAAGATATCAGTATAGATCCTAGTGTCTTTGATGCTCGTATCTGTAGAAAAGGACACCAATCAAGAAAACCAGTACTTTGCTTTTTTTCTCAATCTTAACAGATGGCTATAGTATTAATTTTTTTCAAATCAACTCTTTTTAAAAACTGAAGTATAACTAATTTACAACATTGTGTTACTTTCAGGTACACAACAAAGTGATTCAGATATATATATATATTCTTTTCAGATTATTTTACATTATAGGTTATTAAGATATTGAATATATTTCCCTGTGATATACAGCAGATCCCTGCTGCTTATCTGTTTTATAATTGATAATGTATGTATATTGATCTCAAACTCCTAATTTTCTCTCCCCAGTCCCTACAGCATGCTTGATAATGAGTTTCTGAAAAGCAAATACTGTTGCTCACATGTATATTCAATAAACATAAAAGCAACAGCAAAATTTTTAATTTATTAAAATTACAATGTCTTCATTATTTACACATACTGTACTTCAGAACCTCTTGAAAGTGAAAGAGGAGAGTGAAAAAGTTGGCTTAAAGCTCAACATTCAGAAAACAAAGATCATGGCATCCAGTCCCATCACTTCATGGCAAATAGATGGAGAAACAGTGGAAACAGTGAGAGACTTTATTTGTGGGGGCTCCAAAATCACTGCAGATGGTGACTGCAGCTATGAAATTAAGACGCTTACTCCATGGAAGAAAAGTTATGACCAACCTAAACAGCATATTAAAAAGCAGAGACATTACTTTGCCAACAAAGGTCTGTCTCGTCAAGGCTATGGTTTTTTACAATAGTCACGTATGGGTGTGAGAGTTGGACTGTGAAGAAAGCTAAGCACCAAAGAATTAATGCTTTTCAACGGTGGTGTTGGAGGACTCTTGAGAGTCCCTTGGACTGCAAGGAGATGCAACCAGTCCATCCTAAAGGAGATCAGTCCTGAGTGATCATTGACCACAGCATCACTGACTGATGCTGAAGCTGAAACTCCAATACTTTGGCCACCTGATGCGAAGAGCTGACTCATTTGAAAAGACCCTGATGCTGGGAAGGATTGAAGGCGGGAGGAGAAGGGGACGACAGAGGATGAGATGGTTGGATGGCATCACTGACTCAATGGACATGAGTTTGAGTAAACTCCAGGAGTTGGTGATGGACAGGGAGGCCTGGCGTGCTGCAGTCCGCGGGGTGGCAGAGTCAGACATGACTGAGCGACTGAGCTGTACTTCAGATAACTAAAATACAGTATGTCAAAAAGTTCTGCCAAAAAATAAAAGAAATGCAGCTGCTATTTAATTTTTCATTAGGTTGCTTTAGATTTTTAAAATCAGAGCATGCTGGAATCAGAAATGATCTTAGAAGTGGTTCAGTTCAGATCCTACTTTTATAAAAGGTTTAAGGCACAGGGAAGTTAACTGACTTGGCCAAGATCACATGGCAGAGCCAGGATTGGAATCTGGCCTTTAGAATTAATTCTAATGAAATATAGTTTTTACCAGATTGTGGAGGTTTTAGAAAATTTAGATTAGTCATTAAAGTTATCAAGGCTTTTCCTTGAATAAATTATTTGAAATTGTTAGAAACCTGTCTTTTAAAGTCTATAAACTAACTGCATGTATTAAGCATAAGAATAACAGTTTTCCCATTTTAGACCTTCAATTATTTTTAAAAAGTTAACCATCTATCATGCAACTCAACTACTCACAATACGTAGAGGATTATTTATTTAAGAATTATTTTTTATACATTTTTAAATCTTACACTTGATTCCTCCAGCTACCCAATACTTAAAAGGGTATTTTACACACTTCAGTCACCCAAACGGTCCTTAGAAAGTGGAAAACACTTAGAACGTGCGTATTCTAAATAACACAAAAATTAGTTTGATATATCTAGGAGGTATATAATATGCCCCAAAATAAAATGACACTGGTATCGAGCATGCTACCTATACTCTATATTAGTGCCCATAATCAATAGCCACTGTTTTGAAGAGTACCTTTATCACCTTAATTGTGCAACTCATTTTAACTGGCATTTACAGAGCATAAATCAACTTAGCAAAAAGCATACTGAAAGGGTATATACAAAATGTGTGGTATAAACAATAAATACCTCGGGAAATCAGAGATATGTAAACACAACATGGACTCCACCCTTGCAAAGCAGATAAAACTAGAATAGATGGAGAACAACATGGACAAGTATAAGGACACAAACGAATTTCTCACTCATCTTGGAAAGCTGGAGCAGATCATGGGGAGTTTCAAGACCAAGATGAGAAACAGAAGTTCCTATGTTCACCCTAGTAACAAGAGGGATATTATTTGATATTTCATTTCTAATTCTAAATTTCTATGTTTTTCTTAAACTTGGGACTCTACTAACTGAGGAAGAATTGTTCAAATATCTGTTTGTTCAACATTTGTTGAACTTAGTTTTCAAATTTTATAAAACAAGAAATACAACTTGGCTTAAATCTGAATGAATCCAAGGCACTATCTATGAGGAACAAGATATAAGAATCTGGAGACTGTCTCACACTATTCAATCAAATTTATGAGGGAGGATCTTAAGAAACAAGTAATTTAAGTAGGCTGCAAAAAAAAAAAAAAAAAAAAACACTATAAGCTACCCGATCCAAATCTATTATACCACTAATCATATTACTTTTCATCCACTCCTTAATGCAACCATCTCATCAATTCAGTTCTTATAAGGAAAGTCCACAATTTCCTTCAAACAAAATTGACAATTGATAATTGCATTTAACCTCTCTTCTCCCTCCTCCCCCCTTTTCTAACCAAAGTAATACATAGTTTGGTGTTCATATTCACCCATGGATTTAATAGCTTTAATAAAAGGCTCAGATGGCACCATTCTTATTCAATTGTGTAAATGGACAGTATCCAGTTTAGCAGTTTAGTAGACACTTTGAGACTTTCAAGAGGTTTCTGTCTCCAAGAAACGAGAATGGTTCAATGGTTCAAGTTCATATTTCCTCTCTTGCTTGACTTTATAAAAATAATTGTCATCCAAAACCACTGCCCAGAACCAACCACAACAATAGGCATATTTAGTCACTCAGTTACCATTTAGCAGGTGCAACAAGACAGTGCCGTCTTTCTCAAACTCCATACCACCATCTCACATCTAAAGATTTGTCACTTAGAGAACACAATACCACAACTGGCACGAACTTTCTCCTCTCCTGGTGTCAGCGGCTGCCGGCTTAACAGAACCGGGAGAAGAGCAGGATTCACCGGCCTAGCTTAGCTCGGTGTCGCGGGATGTGGTGAGCATCAGCCTGGAAGTGGTAGGTGTACTCTCTTCACCAGTGAGCACCTCCCTCGCCCATCGCCCTGCCAAGGCCAGGCTGGAGCCCACCCTAGGACTCGGTCCTGCACTTACCGCCCCTCGCCTGCTCTTCGCCAAGAGCCTACCCCTTGATAGACGCCAAAGAAAGCACCGGTGCCCTGCAGAGAGTGGAACGGAGAAAGGGACCCCGCGCCTCCAACTAGAGCTGGAACCTACTCCCCACGGTGCCCGTCCATGGTGGAGCTCCCACCATCCTCACTGCTGGGGCAGGGCAGGCGAAGAACTGAGCTTTATCTCAGGACCCGCCCCAGCCTCCCGATCCTCACCCACCTCGAGGCCGCCAATTTTACGAAGCCGGGTCTCCAAGCGCGAGGCTCCGCCTGCTGAAAGCTTGCAGGGAACAGGCTGGCCTCTAAAGCCCCCAGCCGCCGGCTCTGCACTGTACTTCTACCCACGGCGCGCTCCCGCCTCCTTGCTGCCATGGCGACAGCCCAGGTTCCCGGCAGCCGCTGATTGGTCCCACCGGGAGAGTGGAAGGCGCCGATTGGCTAGGGCGGAGACCAGGCCGCGCCGGAGGGCTAGGGGGCGGGCGGTGTGGAGTTCTAAGGCGTAGGAGCCTCGAGGAGGGTGAGCCAAGAGGGACGTGGCGCTCTGCGGCGCGGACTAGGAAGCCGCGCCCCTTCCTTCTAGGGCTTTCATGGAGAATCCTGTGGAGCAGGATTTGGGTGGGTGAGGTGCTTACCCGGGACCGGGACCAAAAAACAGGTGTCTCCTACCCCTCGGCCGCCGGTGCGCGCTGGCAGCGCCCAGCCTGGTGAGAGACGGAGGGTCAGGCGGCTGTCGCCCGCAGGCCTCCTTTGGGTCTAACACCCCGGGCCTCCTCCATGGCGGGAATCTTACCCGTATTTGTAACCTCACCTACCCCGGTTTTGTTATGCCGTGGGCCACTGTGGCTTGATTCCTTTTTGTTTCACCTTCTCTCACACCCGTCTGCGTTATCTTTTCTCCTCACCCTCCTTCTTATAGAACTGAGACATCTGTTCCACACCCATCATTTTAAAGATGGGGAAACTGATCCTCAAAAGATACTCGTGGCTCAAGGATTAGAGAAACTTTTGAAGCCTCGAGGCTGGTTTCGACTGAGTCTGCTAAGTAATGGCATCTTTCTCTGAAGCTGTTTTCTTGCTTGTGAAAATGGTGTTTATCTCAGAGTTGTTAGTGAAGATTAGATAAGATTCCAGAAAACCAGTATAGAACCTGCTGCATATGTTAGTAATGTTAGCTGCTTTTAATCAGGAAATAATAAGGGTAGTAGCTAAATCACCTATATGGAGCCCAACTGCCACATGAAACCAATTCCTTGACTCGCTGCGAGTTACTTAAGTGCTCTGTGCCTCACTTTCCTGGTCTGTAAAATGAGAATAATAATGGTATCCTCCTCTTTACAGCATAAGTAAATAGAAAAGTGACAGGCACATAGTAAATGCTCGATAAATGTTAGTCCGTCTCATGTGAGTGGCTGAGCCACGACTGTAATTCAGCTCTCTAGATTCCAAGACCAGCCATCTCTACTCTTACACAACTCTCATCTGTACACGTAGAACAATGCCTAGAAGTTCCGCTTTTTTTAAGGTTCAGGAGGAAATGCTTGTCCCTTTTCTTAAAATCTCAAACTATCTCCCTTACTGTCCTGAAAGTCCTAGAATGTTGTGACTGCCTCCACTGAAGGTTTAATAGCAGAGGCAAATGTAAGGAAAATAATCATACTCAGTTCTGATGGACAGATTGAAGAATGAAAGCACTACAGTAAGAAAACATGTTCAAGAAGTTATGGTGTAGGAACACTAAATCTCTATCTGAAAAATATAAATACTAATGTGAGGGTATTGGTAATATTAATATATCATTAGTAACCAATGTTAGTGTTAGATTAGGAGACAAGCCACATCCCATCCCTGTGGAAAATATTAAATTGTAAATACATCAAAAGCAGGAAGTATCTTCCACATTTTTATTACCCATTATCTGCCACAGGGCCAAACACACTGTGCTTGATCTAAGCCCTAACGTTTGAATTAAACCCTTTAAGGAGAAGGCCTGAAAGATCTGGTAATTTTCTACACTATTATCAAGATAAATATTATTTATTATTATTATCTAGTAACCCAATGGAAAATAAGAAATTGGATTAGTCCAACACCACAGTGGAAAGAGAAAGAACCATAGCTGGGTGACTGAGATGTCAGCAATATTCTCAGCAATATTCTGGGGTGAAGGAAGAAGAAAACAGGAAGACAGGGCAAACAGACGAAACAGCAAGATTCAGGATTAGGAGAGATCACTAAGGAAGATATTTCAGTATGTCATGTGCCTGTAAAGCAGGCAACAGCATCTATGCTAGTAAAGATGCTTTTGTGATAGAGAAAAATAAAAATGTTAATCATGAACCCTGGAACTGTAGGCTGAGGGACTTATAAGGAAATGTTACTTTATTTATCAGTTAAAACTCCAAAATTCAGGCTTTAGCACTAATGGAAAATCTCCTGATGGGGAGGAGGACGGAAGAACACATTACTGCACTGTTCAAAGAAGAAAACAAGGCTTTGGAGTCAAAACTAGGTCCCAACCCTGCCTGAATTAAAAACCCGGTTCTATCTTAATTACCTGAGTGGTCTCTGCCAAGTAACTTAACCTCTGTCCATAGCAGAGCTTCCTTATTTATAACATGGAGGCAATAATAGTTCCCACTTCATAAACGTGTGAGGATTAAATGAGTTCATATTTGTAAAGCAGAGGGGTGCTTGGCACATAGTAAGTCCATAGCCCATATATTAATGTTGGATAAAATACTGATATCAGTTTATCTGTAACCTGGGATCTTAATAGTGAACTTACTATAAGGGTTCAAATGATGTATGTAAACTGTCAGAGAAGAGATGCTTGTAGACATTATTTCTCTGCCCCTCCACCCCTATAAGCCTCCAACCTGTTACCTCTGAACTCCTTTGTGATTAACCCTGCCACTGCCATCAAGGGGCTATTGCTCAACCTGGTCTAAGCAAGGATAAAATATCATTGCATGATTTTTCTTGACTCAGGTGAAAAGCTCAAAATGAGTTTACTAGAGGCCAGGAGAAAATGAAAGGGAAACAACTCCAGAGAACCAGCTGATGTGAAGCCTACCCCCATACTTTGGGTCCTCCAGGGGGAAAAAAAAAAAGGTGTCGGGGGATTCTGGCTTTTCAATACTTCTACTTTCCCCTTCTCACTTTTTCTAGGGTCCCATAGGATATAACCTGGCCAAGTTCTTCATTGTGTTTAGAATGGAAGGGAGGGAGGCAGTAATACTTATAAGAGACAGTAAGTAGTCTGAAAGAAGAAAACAACAGTACACTCTACATGGGCACCAAGACTTTGTAGTTTTATATGGTCTAGGTCAGTCGTCAGCAAACTATGGCCCTTGGGCCAAATTACCCAACTGCCTGTAAGGTATAATTCAGGCTGAGGCAGAAAAGGAGAGATGACCTCAACAGAAGTAGGTTACCTTTATTCATGCAAAGAGGGGCAACAGTCGGCCTAATGACCAGGCTGAGAGCAAGAGGGATCAGGGAGGCTTCATATTTAAAGGGAGGTTTGTGGAAGCGATAAGGGAAACATTAGTCAGGCGGGATGTTTTGGGTATTCTTTAGTTGAGATGGCATTTGTAGTTGGGCAGGGGGTGATAAGTCTCAGATAGATACAGCCTGGAGCATCAGGATAGGACCTAAAGTTCAGTTTTGTTTTCTCAGAAGTTAGATGATTCAGCAAGGGCCTTTGATACTGTTGTTTTCTTTTCTAGGCCCAAAGACTCCTTCATTCCAGACCCTGAAATCATAAAAAATGGGAAAAAGAGTGCCATGTCTCTCTGGCTGCTACCTGCTTGATAGGGGTGACAGTTTTGGGTCTGGAATGGAGGATCATTCTAGGGCCCAGGGTCTCCTTTTCCTGAGCTTGGGATGAGGCTCTTGAGAAGAACAACAGTCTTGACCTGGTCTCAAGTGATGGCCCAAATCAGTTCTTGGAGAAAGCTTTGAAAGAGATTGAAGAGACAGGATCCAAATAAAAGGAATAGAATGATAAGTACCAATGGTCCCAGGAAAGGTAGCAACCAAGGGAGGATCTGTTGGAACAGGTTTTGGGGAGTGTAAAGGTTTTGTAACTCTTTTCTGCAACATTCAATTCTGTCTCTAAGTTCTTTGACTCTGCCCTGGACTATGCCCATTTAACTAACAAAATAGCAGCAGTCCTCTCCTAGGAAAAGGCAGGTCCCTCCCTTTTCTGCAGTGAGAAGGTCCAGGGCTCGCCTATTTTGTAGGGCCACAGAAACTAATGAGTTAATTTGTCTTTGGACTGAAATGAAGGGCTCCACTATCTGCTCCATGTCTTCATTAAGTTCTTGGGACAGCTTGTAGTAAAAATGGGCCGATGTCGAGATGTCCCCAATCCCGGTGCCTAGGGCTGCTGCTATGCCAGTCCCAATCAGGAGGGGGGCTATGACAGCTCGTCTTTTCCTGTGGGAAAGTTCCCCTTGGGGGTAGACTATTTGGGCTACCTCTTCTTCTTTGAGGAATGTTAGACCCGGGGTCAGGAAGACCAAGATGCAAGGTCCAAGGGAGTCCAGGGGGAGACATGAATATGCATAGGTCCTGCAGAGAATGAAGAGTCCCTGTTTGGTGCAATTATTTGTGCTGTTCCAGAGAACCCAAGTGGAACAGAAGGAGGGAGCGGAGTTTGTAAGATCAGTGTAGTTGGGACTAGAGTAGTTGATATAGGTTTGAAGAGGCTGAGAGTAGGACATTGTCAGAGACTGGCCCAATGAGTTGTGTAGGTTTTTGTTGGGAAGGAGGGTATAGTTGCCCTATGACAGCCAGGTTGAGGGTAAGGGAATTGCTATGCATGGTGAGGGAGACAGTGACATGCATATCCAACACTTGGATGTGTATTGTGTGTACTGGAAGAATTGGAAAGAAGAGTTGAGAAGGTGGATAAGGAGTACGTTGCCAGAGGGAGGTTTTAGAAGAGGCCATAATTGGGAAAGGAGGTCTAGGCATTTATAAGTTTCAGGGTTTGCCTGTAACTAGGAAATTATGTTCTTTATGACTTGTTCTTGTTTCTTTTCCGCGATTTTGATCTAGTACCCTGCCCCCATCTGAGTACCCCCAATGGGTAATGGGATAGAAAAATGTATCTTCCATTTGGCTTATGGCAGGTGCTCATGAAACTCCCTCTCTTTTGTACTTTAACAATGAGTAGGGATTTGGACTTCCCCCCCACTGAGGTTCATGGTGCATGATCTTGGAGCTGTACTATAACATGAGGAATGAACATAAGAATAAATGTCTGAGCAGGGGCAGGGAGAAGCCAGAAGACTGGGGTGTGCAGCAAGGATAAGGAACGGGGGAGTCATGGGGCTGTTAGTTAGGCAGTGCAGAGGAAGTAGCAC